CTACTCTTACTATGTGCAGAAAATAGTTAACAGGAGGATACTTGAGAAAATATCACAGGGTCATTTCATTGTCCCATAGCTCACTCAGCATGTTGTAGTTTGAAACAACCAAAGATCCAATTCATCCTATCTGTTGTAGTCCCAGAACTACCTTCTTAAGGAAAATTTTATATCTAAAATCAGAAAACTCAGCCTTAAAGTAATTCAACCCAGATTAGGCAATTCTGATAGCAGAGAAGAGAAAACAAAAACACTGAAGACAGCATAGCATGTCGTCCAGAAAGATGAGATGTGGGTGTGGAACCAGACTAGGGGCAGCAACACAGAATGATGAAGCATTTGGAAGAGGAGATGGAGTGGGGGAATTCCAGAATTCCAAAGAAAAGTTTTACCTAATAATTAAAATGGCATCCACCAGTTATCAAGCATATGCCAAGGGCCAGACACTATACTAGACACTTCATGAATCTTATCTCTAATTCTTGCAGCAACTCTACAAGGCAGGTCTGAAGTATTCTCATTTTTTGACGAGGAACCAAATCTTCATAAGGTTATATACCAGGCTTAACATTCCTCAGCTAGGAACTGCAGAGCCAGAATTTGACATCATTTCTATCCATCTGTAAAGACCAGAGCTGCCTGGTAGGGTTGTTCAACCTACACAACCCTATACAATGGTCCTGTTAAAGCCCACCTCTTTCCACAAAAATACATTTTCCAAAATTTGATTAAGTTTTAAACACTGACATTTAGAAGCCCTAAGCTCAAAGCTTCAGTCCTAAGGTGAATTTGAGAAGCCCCAAGCATTTTTGATGGAAGGAAGACCATATTGACACATTTTCAGAAACATGGCAGAGTAGTTCAGGGAAACTCTGACAGGGAGACCAAGGTGGCACATGACAAATAGTTTCTGGGTGATCTATTTTGAGCAAAAGTCAGAGAGAAGAGGATGTGGAATTGCACATGGTGGCTGACTTTATGAAGAGTGTGGCAGATATGGGTAATTGCCCTCTAATATCTATTACCCTCTTATTTCTTTTAGGAACAGAACCCCTGAGTTTTAGCTGGGTTTAGCTGTTCAGCTAGATACTTTCCCAGGCTCCTTGGCAGCTAGGTTCCAACCAATGGAGTTTCTGGTTGACATCTGTCAGATTAAAAACAAATCTGGGGCTTCCCTGGTGGTGCAGTGGTTGGGCCACAACAGTGAGAGGCCCGTGTACCACTAAAAAAAAAAAAAAATCTGGACTTCATTAGAAAGGATTATTGAGAAGCATTGGGGAAGGATGATGGCAATGGGAGGGAAGAGAACTATTACAGCAGGGAGAACACTGACCACGTGATCTGCATGTGTCAGGCAAAATGGGTGTCTTCCACCAAAAGGAGGAAACAAGGCTAGACAGAACCAGGTGAAGGAAAGTGGGATGAAAGGGTGGCAAAGTCAGACAGTAGATCAAAAAATGTTTCACCCTGAGTCCAGCCCATTTTCTGGGAGACCCTTAAGGAGGGGCTGTACCCCGGTTCAGGCTGAGGGCAGGCCAAATTTCAAGGGGCTCAAGGGAAGGAGAAAATCTTAACCAAAGCCTGGTTAATAAATATTTTGTTCCCCGTGATCAGTGGGGACCAAACAGTTCTGCTAATCAGTTAGGAAGCAAAGAATGGGAATTTGGAGGGTCTGCATCTGGCCTTGTCATACACAAACAAGAGCGGCATCTTGAGTCTTTTCTAAATCATGGGTAAGTGTGGTTCTTTGCAGTAAGTTTTTTCCCAGAACACAAAGAGTAGGAGGGATTTCTTTAACCATTGCGGGTTTCCAGAATCACAGGGCTCTGGTAAAGTTCGACATGGTCATAATCTTAAGAGGAATCTGCTTGCCTGTACTTCCTCTTTGATCTGATAGTGGTTGGAGCTTAGACGTGGTGGTGACGAGTCACCCTAAGGGAGGGTATAATCTAAGATGGGAGGAACCTGGGTGCCTGAATGACTTTGTGGAACAGAGCTGTCAGCTTGCCCTGGTCAGCTCACCTACCTTTGGACTATTAGGAAAGAGAAAAATAAGCTTCTATCTAGTTTGCAACGTTTGATTTTTAAGTCTCCAAGTTATAGCCACTTAGCACATACCCTCATGATTAAAAATAGTCCCTGCAAACAAGAAATTTTTTTTGTGTTTTTGACATCATGGTCAACCTGTAAGCATCATCTTCAAATATGAGAGATAATACTGAATGCAGAGCTCCCTTGGAAGTATTCATATTCTCATTAATGTATGAACACCTGAAGCATCAAAAGTTCAATTTTGCTCTTCTTTTTCTATGTCACATAGGAAAAGAATTCTGTTTCAGTTCCTGAAATGCATTTAAAAACTTTCCATTCACCTAGCATTGGAACATAAAAAAAGGAAAATGCACTTATTTCTAACTAAATTATATATATTAATGTATGAAATTGTTATGCTATTGTTGGGCTCTTAAAAAGTTGCTTAAAATGGCATAATGTTCTACCATTTGATTCAAATTGCCTTTAGGTCAGTAATGTACTCCTTAACTGGAAATGTGAACATAGGAAGATACAGAAGTTTGACCAGTAGTGTTTAAAAGAACGAACTACTCGCTATCAACTATGTATCACTTCCTGTTAGACACTGTAATGCACCCATCAAAGGTTGTTCCCAAATGTAGCACCCACATGATGTACTTTGCTAATTGAACAATTACATGTCTGCCTATTGCTAGTGTCACAGCCTGTCAAATTCCAAAGGTCTTTCCTTTCTTATTTAAATTTCTCAAGCAGTCCTAATAACGTAAATAAGAATTATCGATTAGTCTATGTTCCTCCAGTGAAAAAACAGTCCCATATCAAAACTGCCTAGGAAGGCTGTTTGTTCAATTTAATCTAAACAAAGAATTGGGTAAGAGCACTCACTGCAGCCTCTTTGATTCACTGGATCATTGAATTCACTGTCTCAGTTGAGTTCTTAATGATTTTCAAATACATTTTGGAGAAGTTAAAAAATGAGACTTTATGGTTTTAATTCCCTGCATCTCCTCTGTATTTTATGTGTGATTTTAATATGCTGTGAAATTATTCCAAATCTTTATTGTCCATTGTTCCCTTTTTAAAAACAGGTCCAGAACAGACATGAGACAATCAACCAAATATATGGCATCATTTTTCACCTAAATGCTCAGAGTTTCAAAAGCATTCTTTCCTCTCCCAAACCACCCCTTCTCCTCGTGGCTTCTGAAAAGTTCTACTTAAATGGATAAGCTCCCCACTGGGGACATTATCAATTAAGAACTTCTGCTCCAGCCTTTGCACTTTGCAGTAATTCAACAATCTTTTATATGTTAAAAACAATCTCACTTCCAAGATTTGGTGTTTCTTGCTAATGCAAAACATCACTGGAAAAGGTCATCCTTTTTTCTGTAGTGGAACCAACAAAAGTGAAGGGCACTAAGCCCTAAGAAATTCACTAAAACTTTTTTCCTTTTCATTCAAGCTTAAAACCTTACCTATCATTACAAAATGAAATAGAAATTTACCAGTCATTAGACTGAATTTGCTGATAATAAGTACTTTTCTGCTTTTGAAAATCCTTTACAAAAAAGATTAACAAAAGCAGTTGCTATCAAGGTGATTATTGTACATGCTTTTACTTTTTAAAAGAAAGCAATTTCCCATGTTCTTACTTTGATGGGCTAATGCTAAACTCCACAAGAAGAAATCTTTTGGAAATGTGGACATAACCTGGGGTAGACATACTCCAGTGCTCTTCTCAGATGTTCTGGGTCCTTTCTTAAACATTCTCGGTTTGGTATGCAATATGAAACGCAATTGGGTAAAGGACAGTTTGAAGTTCCTTTGTATGTGCTGTTCAAAAAATAAGTTTACAAAGTCCAAGTCAGTGTAGTGTGTGTATACAATAATTTTGTATGTGTGACAAACCTGTACAATTGGTCAGCTACTGTTAACTGCTTTCTCTCCAGCACCTGTTTAACACAGCATGACGTAGTAGATGCTCAATAAAAGATTACTGAATTGAAAGGATGGTTGACGTGTAACAAAGATTACATATAACCCTTAGTTTAAAATGCCTACTTTTTTAAACAATTGATTCTCAAAAAAAAGTGAATACGAGATTGATTGCTAAATTACTGAATACCTATAAAGGTGTGTTTAACCTACTCCAACCTACACGATATGTCGATGGGATGTGAACACTCTTTTTTTTTTTTGCAGTACGCGGGCCTCTCACTGTTGTGGCCTCTCCCGTTGCGGAGCACAGGCTCTTGACGCGCAGGCTCAGCGGCCATGGCTCACGGGCCCAGGCGCTCCGCGACATGTGAGATCCTCCCGGACCGGGGCACGAATCCATGTCCCCCATGTCCCCATCGGAAGGCGGACTCTCAACCACTGCGCCACCAGGGAAGCCCGTGAACACTCTTAATTAGCTGCATCCATTGGACGTTTCCCTACCTCACTGAGATCACTGTCTCCCTTTTAGAATACTGGATGCTCGGGAGGCTGCGGAGACAGGTCGAAGCTCGCCCTCGCGATAACTTCCAGAGATAGGTCGAAGCTCGCCCTCGCGATAACTTCCGGCTGGTGTGCCTTCCGACAGTGTCGTGCGGGGCGGGGCCTGCCGGGCGCAGCAGACCGCGGGATGGCTGCGCTCGTGGCCGAAGTAGGCTGGAAGGTCTTAGAGCGAAGACCCCCTCACCAAACGCTCAGTTTTGCAAACTGCTATAGTTTAGCCTGCGACGCTTATGATTAGAGTCAACAATTTGCAATGGCCAGCTCACCTGATGCATTCTTAAGGTATGGCTTCTCCACCAGCTTTCTTAAAAGTCTGGCTCACTTTGAACCTCTTAAAAGCGTTAATCTTCCGAGACCTGATAATAAACCTATGGGATAAATTGGATCACTATTACAGAGTTGTCAAGTAACATTGCTCCCCTATCAAAGTCCAGCCACAGGTCTCTTTCACACTAAAACATGTGGCGATGATCAGGCCAAGATCCACGACAGTCTGTACTGTGCCAAGGGGCCTGGCTCTTGCATACAGGCGCATTGACGAGGACAAGGGAAGGACCCATGAGCTGGAGCGCTCGGCCGTAAAGTGTATGAGAGGAATTCTCTACTGCTATGTGCATCCGGCCCATAAGGTCCAGCAGTTTAAGCAGGATCCACTCCCAACGTGTCTTTACTCTATCTTCAAGGTACAGACAGGGGATGAGATCCTCTCCTATGAGGAATATGGTCATCTTCAGATAAATGCAGTGTCACTCTATCTCCTTTACCTTGTGGAAATGATTTCCTCAGGACTCCAGATTATCTATAACACTGATGAGGTCTCTTTTATTCAGAACCTTTTATTTTGTGTAGAAAGCATTTACTGTGTACCTGACTTTGGTGTCTGGGAAAGAAGAAGCAAATATAATAATGGCAGCACAGAGTTGCATTCAAGGTAATTTGCTGATTTATCAGTGTTTTTGTTTTTGTTTTAATTTCAATGTGTGGAATTTGAATATGAATAAAAATCAAAGTACTAGATTGGAAAACATAAAAATAAAAAATAAAACGGAACTAATATTAATGATGATAATTAAATCAGACAACACACACATTGTGCCCAGCATTGCACCAGGCATGTAGTAGATACCCATTAGATGGTGATAATTATTTTATTTTACAAGAGTGAAAAGAAAAGTTTATTCTACCTGGTGACTCTGTTCTGATTCTGAGGGAAAGTAGCAAATTTTTATACTATGTATGAACTTTTCATCTTACGTATAAACGTTGACTTCTCTCTCCTCTTTTTTTAGAAGAATGGGATAGAGGGCAGACCAATACCTGGAAGGAAAACAGCTGCATCCTTACACCTGACCTTCCAGAATACCCCCTGCCTCATCATTGCCACCTCTATTGCTTTTGTCTGATTTCTGCATGTTGATCTCTATTTGTCTTGGGTCTGCATGGAGCCACCTGCAGGGCTTTTGTTTCTCCACCTATTGAGTCTCCCTTTGAGTAGAAAAAAGAAAAGATTTCCAGAGTCTGGACAAGAACATTTTCTTAAGTACCTAACAATAAAAGGGGCATGAAACTATTTACCAACCTCACTTAAATCCAGTAAAATTACCTTTTACAGGGTGTTGTGTTGTTGATTGCTTTCCTTTCTCTAAATAAAGACTTAAATTTCAGCTCACAGGAAAAACTGATAGCAAGGGAAGCTGCTCGTGAAATGATACAAGGAGCGCTGGACAGGGGAATGTTAGAGGCAGGGTGGGGAGGAAAACAAAACTTGAACCAAAACCTTCACCGCATGTTTCATTTTAGAGTAATAATCAAAAACAAACTAAATGTCAGGTTTCCTTGGATTGGATTATTATTCTCCCGGTCACGAGGCCACTTTTCATTGTTTCTCAGGGTGATCCTGAATAGAGATATTGTACAGCCCACATTAGGGAGAGAAACTGGTTGCTCTCAACTCTGACCACAGATGTAAAATAACAGGCTCTGATATTCTTTCAGAAGTTTTGACTTCATTTCTTCTGGAAACTATAAAAAGAAATCTTTTTTGTTGCTACAGCTTTGCTGTCCTAGATGCTTTGTATTGCTTCCGTTCAGTCTGGTCTTAAGAGAAGAGCTTTACCCTGCATACCTATTAGCAAAGAAAAGTGTCTTAGAATCCCTACACAAAAGAATTATTTTGTAGAGGTGCCCAGCCATAGGTTTATATTCATTCCTGGTTTCTCAGGTGACCTATCATGCATAACAAATTTTTTGAAGAGATTAGAAAAAAGATGGTGGGACTAAAGAAGAATTTGAAAGTTCACTGTATCCAATAACCCAAGAAGAACTTTAAAAGAAAAAAAATAAACATTAAGAGAGACAAAGTGGTTTCTAAAATAAACAAACAAGGATCTGCCTTAATAAAGTAGTTGACAGCTTCTCTCCTTCTTTTCCAGGCTCGGCCACCAGCAACAGACAAAAGGCCTCATTTGCACAGCTGTTGCCCAAAGAACTGAACAAAAGTGAACAAAGCTTTAACTTGAATTTGAATTGAAACTTTAACTTGAATTTGAAAAAAAAAGTCAACTGACAAAAAAAAGCACAGATATCAGGGAAGTCAACAAAGAGGCAAAAAACTTTGTGAGGTCAGGAAGAAGAATTTTCTAAAAGGTAAATTTCCTTGGAGCTCGAAGGAAGCTGGAAATCGGAGTCTGATAAAGGCACGGAGGCTGAGCTCTGGAAGCTCCCATCCCCGCACAGCCACCAGAGTGAAAATCACAACAGCAGGGAGAAATCCATTGCCCAAGATGGTGGAGCAGAAAAGGCAACAGTTCCTTCAGAGCTCGGAAGCTGGAGCCAAGTGAGGGCTAACTTCAAGAAAGAGCCTGCCTCACCTCGTTTCTTCTAACTTCTGGACTCTGCCTTAGAATGAGTCTCTGTCATGGGGAGAGGGAAGATCCGGGTAAGACAGAAGAAGGTAGTAATGTTTTTACATCCCCTTCATTTTAAATATTTTTCTTGTCCTTTTTTTTTTTTTTTTTTTTTTTTTGTGGTACGCGGGCCTCTCACTGCTGTGGCCTCTCCTGTTGCGGAGCACAGGCTCCGGACGTGCAGGCTCAGCGGCCATGGCTCACGGGCCCAGCCGCTCCACGGCATGTGGGATCTTCCCAGACCAGGGCACGAACCCGTGTCCCCTGCATCAGCAGGCGGACTCTCAACCACTGCGCCACCAGGGAAGCCCCCTGTCCTTTATTTTTTTTTAACAATATATAAAGCCTCACAAAAGAAGAGGCAACTAGTGTTTTACAAGTAAAGCCTCTTGGGAAAATAAGAAATATACTGGTTTAGGCTATTTATTATTTATAGACTATCATTTTCAAAAAAAAAGCTTGAAGCATCCATACAATAGAAACTATGAAAACAATTAGAACATTAAACCAGGAGTCAGAGAACAAGATGGCAGGATATAATGAGGACAGGGAGAGGGAGTAATTGTACCAGAAAATATAGAAACAGTCTTCTCCTTTGCTGTATCAGCTGTGATATACAGAACTAAAATTTAAGTTCAACTGCAGTGAATTCAGTTCTTTTTTTTTTTTTCAGTCCTTTTCCAGCTGCAATAAGAAATGCTGAAGGAATTTCAAGTACAGTCCCAGAAATAGTAATTAAATGTTCACAACATACCGCCTATGCATTGGCTTTGCCCAAAAGTTCATTTGGGTTTTTCCGTAAGAGGGTATGGAAAACCGAATGAACATTTTAGCCAGCCCAATACTAG